TGCACGAGACTACAGTGGGAGCCTGGCTGCCGGCCAGCCATGGCTGACTGTATACAGTAGAGCTCCTGCTATCAGCTGCACAGCTGACAAAATTGTGGAGGAGCCTAATGTTGCAGAATTTGCAATTTCCACACTATCACAAATTAAGTAGGTCCTTAATCTTAGCTTTCTTAATTAAACAGTGGTGCTGTCTTCAGATATACAGAGTAACCAAAACAGAAAACATGTTTCTGAAACCTTGGTGCTGTGCTGGGATGCCAGTGTCCTTCCAAATATAGTAGGTGTGATATACATGATTTCTACCCCAGAAAAAAGATTTGATCAAAAGTTTGAGATGGGGGGATGACTTCAGCCTTGTATGCCGATCCCAGTGGAATCTAACACATCCAGAGCATGTTATGTTTCATATCCTTTAAGGAGTATAGAATCTCTTTAGGGGCCAGATCTGCCTCCACTGAACTCCATATCATAGCACCCTTTGTGAGGAAATAGATGTGCATTGAACTTGGAGCTATCCATTGCTTACCTATTATATTATACGTTTCCCAATTATCATAGGACTCAGTTCTGCAATCCTTCTGCAACCCTTACTCACACCGAGTAGTACAAACTCACTTGAGTTGTCCCATTGACTACTATACATTGCCTTTTCTGGGCAAATTTCTCCTTGCATAGGGATAATTTGGTCCATCAGTGTATAAAATCATATTCATTACTTTGAATCCAAAGAGCTTATACACTGAAGGACCAAATTATCCCTATGCAAAGAAAAATTTCCAGAGGGACCAGGAAATTCCATGGTTCTCATGACACAGAATTTCCATTACAATGTTCCATTTGATGAGTCTGACTTTTGGGAATGATTGGGAGTAAGACCCACCTAACCCCATGGGTATCCCAAGATCTGTGAGAAAATTCCATAGATCTTGAGACATCCATGGAGCGAGTAGAAATTCACACAAAAAATACAGTATCTGAAATGATCAGATTTAGCTATTGTGCGTAAGTATGAGGTTGTGTGTGTGTGTGTGCATGTGTGTGTGTGCGCGCGTGTGGATGATGCTACAAGGTGCAGCCATCACTCACCACTAACATATAGACCCAGACCCTCAGATCTCAAACTCTGCAGACTTGGAGTGGATGGTCTTAAATGAAATTAGATGACAGAAGGGAGCATCTTGCAGAGCCAATACTAGCCTCTTCTACCCATCATATCCAGGATCTGTTAATTTTGCTTCCATTTGTTAGTTTTAGTGGAAGACTTCAGTGGCCTATATTCAAGGGTGGTTGGTTTACAAAGAGGAAAGAAAATACACTCTCTAAGGATGGTAGAAGTCCCTGCAGATTCTTTCTTTTGAAGTAGATTTTGCAGATTGCGGTGTGTAGATCTGGTTGTGGGCATGATTTCTGGAGTCAAAAAGTAGTACAGACATGCTCAGTATTCAACCCATGCGTGTGTCTATTTATGGGACTCTAGTTAACTGTTTTGGGGTCTCCCCTACAGCCTGTTCCCCTGAAACCTACTATAATAAATTTCCTACTTGGTACTTCTTTTAAAATAGCATTATTTATTAAGCATGGTTGTCATCTCTATTTGGCATACATATGTTATTCTATAAAGTTTAGCATACTTTCTTTTCCAGATATAAGGTAGCCATAAATTGGGAACATACCAAAATTACCATCTTTTGAAGAATAAACAACCTTTTAAATAATCTGCTTAAAGTGCAGAATCTAAGCATCTTAGACAATACATTTGTGACAAAGAAACATACCAGAAATAGTACATAGGTCAAGTAATTATTACAGTATTATTACATAATGGAATTTGTAACATTAGTAAAGTAAGAGGCTAAACAATGGAGTGACAGCCTCTTCATCATGATCACTAAGTGTGCCACAAAATTCTGCCTTGTGCATACCTCTCACATTTTATTGGAGCATGGCCAGGTGTGGTAGTCATTCCCAGTGAGTAAAACCAGACACGGTAGGGCCAGAGATGGAATTGGAAACCATGAACCAAAGCCAAGGTGCAGGTATAGCACCAAGGTCTGTCATAGCAGCCAGTTCCAGATCCATCTAATTTCCCAGATAAGTCAGGAGGGGATACCAAGAAGTTAAGTAGTCTCCCTTCACCAGTCAGGGACCTTGGAAGCACTACTAGGCCCTCCCTAGGCTGTCACAAATCATGTGGTGTTTGGCCCCACAAGGATCATAACCTATCAATTGCTGCTCTGCTATAGCTGGCAACACAGATCGTGGCTGCTATGCAGGGTCCAGCTGATGCAGGTTCTTGCCCTTTGGCTCTTCATATCTATTCTGCATCATTCTCTAACTCTTGACATCTGGAAGGAATAAAGTGTATGGAATTTAACTCTATTTTGTCTATCACATTTGAAAAACTATTTTTATGGATCAGAACAATCCAGTCACTGATTTTTGCACCAGAAATTTTGAGGGAATTTCACATACCTTCAGAATGCACGCAATGCAGGTGGCTTTATGTCCCACTGGCCTCAAGAGTCAGATAAGTGGCATTTAGCCCAATATCCTTAATAACAATCACCATCATCCCTGGCTCTCAGCATCTCATTCAGATCTCAAAGCACTTTCAAGGGAGGTCAGTTTCATTATCCCCATTTTACTGACAGGAAAATTGAGGAACAGAGCGGTGTAGTCACTTGCCCAAGGTCATCCAGTAGCAGAGTCAGCAATAGAGCTCAGGTATCATGAGTCCCAGTTCAGTGCTTTCGCCACTAGGTAACACCACTTTAAGTGCTATATTTTAAATTTTTCTCTTTTAAAACATGAATAAAACACTAACATAAGCTAGATAATCACTGTATAGGAGGGTCCAGCACTTATTCTCCACTCTCTTCCCCAAGTCCTCTCTAAAACAAAAAATCAGTAATTTTTTCATGCTTTTTGAGAGCTATTACCTTCTCTGTATATACACCCAGCTGGCATCAATGCATGCCTATTGGGATAATAGACCATTTAAAATTGGTTCTATCTCATTCAGTAGCAAAGAAATCTGTTAAGCTTTCTATCCAAACCATTTTCATTTTAGAGAGCGCTTATCACAAATTCAGAAAATCTGTGGTTCAATTAATCTGCACTTTTTGGAAGATGGCATAAAACTAGTGGATGATGATTTAAAGTCAGAGACTGCTATCAGTTCCTGAAATATTTAACAATGCTATCGGAGCCTCTAGCTGAGAATGTAAGGAACAGGAGAAATGGCAATTACAAAATCTAATCTCATAGAACTGTTTTAAAAAACTATTTTTCATTTCAGTAAAGCCGTTTTTGTTTGAATTTAGGCATTCCCTTGCAGTGTTTGCAACTCCCACACTGCAACGTGTGGAGAGAACACTGTGCAAGTGCATGAGAACTGAAAAGCAAATTTGTCACCTGGCCAAACCCTACTCCCACTGAAACTAATGGGAGTTTTACTTTTGACTCTAGTAGGTAGACCCTGCAGATTTGACCCTGCAAATCCGCAGACATCCACCCGCAGACATCCACTTTATAGCCACGGTATCTGCAGATGTGGATGCGGATATACACGGCTCATTTTTGAGGATGCATAGTTTGTCTTTAGAATCCTGCATATTTGTAGATATCTGCTTTTTATCCACAAGCAACATCTACGGATGTGGATGCGTATATCGGCAGATAATTTTTGCAGATGCAGATGCCAATTTTGTATCCACGCAGGGCTCTACCAGTAAGATCATCACTGGATCTGAGGGATAAATAGAAATAAAAGGAAACCTGAGTCATCTGTTTTCATTATCCTTGCTGAATGAATTGCAAACAGAATCTTGGATTTTTTAAATTCTTTCAGTTTTATCCATCTAAGGTGCTCCTGGCAATACAGATACACAAAATATAAATGATTTTTAAGCTGACAGTCTCCCTTTAATGGTCTGTGTTTTCATTACAATGCCACAGTATGGATCTAGGACAGAGTCCGGCCTGGATTAACTCAATTTTGTTTATTTCAGTCTTGCTGTTTGCGTGTGTTTTCATGACTCAATTAGAAATTCAAGCTCTTTTTGGAAGTTAAATGCAAACACAAGCTGAACTCTGTTAAAACTCTTAATATAGCCCTTGCTCATACACATGGAATTGTGTCAGTTACCCAGTTGAAGATTGAGAGGCCACAACAACTCAAGTATTGCTCAAGTGTTACAAGAGGTAATATTATCCATGCATTCATCTATATTGCAATAGTCAATGTATACGGCAATGAGCCACTACAGTCTACTAGACTGAGAATGAGTCTAGAAATGAAAATACCTATGTTCTTTTCCCATCTCAGTCACTCATTGTCAGGGCTGGCCCGAGCCATTCGTGCGCCCCGGGCCCCGGGAATGCGGTGCATGCGTGGCCCCGCCCCGGGCGCCCAGCACATGCATGGCTCCACCCCCCGGGCACCAGCACATACATGGCCCCACCCTCGCCCGGTCTCGCAACCCCGCGCGGCACCTCCTACAATAAGGCGCTCCAGGGTGGTAGCCTGGTCAGCCCGTAGCTTGGGCTGGCTCTGCTCACTGGATTAGATTGAGGTTCATTATACAGTAGAACCTCAGATTTATGAACAGCAGAGTTACAAACTGATCATCAACCACACAAATCATTTGGACCTGGAAGTTGGCAAGCAAGCAATGACAGAGATACCGCCTCCAAAAAACAGCAAATATAGTACCCTACTGTGTTAAACTGCGAAAAATAAAAGGAAACTTTTAAAATGTAACAAGATATACTGAGCTTGTTTCATTTAAATTAAACAGCATTTTTCTTCTGTATAGTAAAGTTTCAAATCTGTATTGAGCCAGTGTTCAGTTGTAAACTTTTGAAAGAACCACCATAATGTTTTATTCAGAGTGAAGAACATTTCTGAATTACAACCTCAAATCCCAAGGTGTTTATAACTCTGAGTGTCTACTGTACCGCACACTACATGGAAAATGGGAATAATAATGTTTACTCACCTTCTTGCAAAGCACTTGAGATGTACAGAAAAGTGCTATAAAAGGACAGAGAGAATTTTTGTTATACTAAAGCATACCCATAGGAAAACCGTAAAGGTGACATATCATAAACCTTAATTTAACTTACAGAAAATACCACAGCCCACATCTTCCCTAGTTTATGGGACTGCATCCTATGGTGTAAACAATCCAGCATTCAATGCTCTATCTGATAGGCCTGCCTCAGATTAAGACAGAGTATTTATTGCCTACCGGGACTTGGAGATTCTACCTGTCATACCACTTCTGTACAAGCGGTATTGATCATATACCATGCTGCAAAACTCTGCAGCCTCCATTTGGCCTACAGACTGCATTTTTTGCTTCATGACCGTCATACAGCATTCCCTACATCATTTTTGCACCACTCTAAGAATGACATCGCTGGATCAAATCTTCTTTCCTTGCAGTAGCTGGCAAAATTCCTATCTACGAGAATGGGAGCAGGATTGAATCTAATGATTATAAGGTGAATACACATTTCTAATTATAATGCAGCAAATAGTCTCGATTACTGTCCAGCAGTCTGAAGTCTGCACAAACATCTGGTTGTATTCCAGAGCGACTGGCTAAAATAACTTAAAGATATAAGATAGACAAGGTGGGTGAGGTAGTATCTATTATTGGATCAACTTCTGTTGGTGAAAGAGACAAAATTTCAAACTCTACAGAGCTCTCCCTCTGACAAGTTTATTACCTAAAACAAACTTGAAAGCTTGTTCTTGTCAGCAACTGAAATGGGTCCAGTAAAGACATGACCTCACCCACTTTGTTTCATATCCTGGGACTCAGATGGTGACCATAACATTGCAGACTTAAAGACAACACCAAGTAAAGATGATAGTTTGAGGGAAATAAAAAATAGTCAAAGCCTGAGTATTCTTTGAATTCAAGAATGAATTTCTGTCTTGCAACAGGAACACTTGCAATTCATATGGTAAAAAAGATCTCTACTGTCAAAAGAAAAATGTGACACAGCCCTCTGAGGCTAGAAAATTGTCATGGATATTTTCAACTTAAATTCCTGCATGTACTTCATTTCTCCCAACATTCTTAGGAAAATTGATCTGCTGAAACAACACCCTGAAAAATGTTTTCTACTATTTTGCTTGTTTCAATGTAGATGAATCGATGTTAATGAATGTTTATAAGAATGCCACAAAATAAACTATGTGAAAATCATAAAGAGCCTGAAGGCAAAAAAGAAACAGTTTTAGAAGCAGTAGGTACCACTTCTAGTGTAGGACCTGTACTGAAGTTAGTTCCTTTTCAAACTTTGCAGTGGAACAATTAATAAAGGAACCCATTAAGGTCTGATTGTTGCTGCTAAAAAGGAAGGTTGAATTTCAGTCCTTTGAAGTAACTGAGAATGATTCAGGCCTCATTACAGAGATATAATCTACATTCATACATTTATGTTAGTGATTCAAATCTATTGGGACAGATTGAATTCCGTTAAATAGTGCATCTTTCCTGTGGAACTTTTCTCAGGCTTTCTCAGGCTAACCTAAGAGGTGACCTAACAATACAAAGTAGTGGGGTATTTAGGGATTCAACTGTGCTATAAAAGAAAGGCTATACAGAAAGTAGAAAAAGGAATGAGATATAATCTAAAAAGCTATGTCGGCTTTTCATTTGGGCTCTGTTTTGTAAATGCCCTCCCTGTCATCACACAGTATAGAAAAGGACTCTATCTGTTGTAGTGGTTTTAAGTACTGCACTAAGTATTGCACCTGCCAGAACTAGATTAAGTATGAAACTTCTAATGTTTCAATTTTTATTTTTGATTCATGAAACCAAAGAGAAGTTACAAATAGATCTTAGTAGAATTTCTCACATGAGCAAAAAATTCATGTGTGAGGCTTTAAAAATATTTTAAGCTTCCATTGTTACTTTTCTTCCCACTACAGAGAAACTCTTTTTTTAAAAAAAAATGCTGCTGATTTTGTGATATTTGTTAGAACAAAGTTAATCAAATGTACAATTTATAAGACATGTATTTTAATTACTTGTCATTTTAAATTTTTAGAATCAGCTGAAAATCTGGCTGAAACACAGATCCTTCTGAGGCAACCCAGGTATAAAACTATGAGCTAGAAAACTGAAAATTAACATGGTAGCCACATTTTAATTTGTCAGACATTCATTCAATAGAATAGAATAGAATAGAGATGTCGCCGTGTTAGTCTTTTTCTTTAAGATTATAAAAAAAATCCTAAATCAAAATAAGCCTGAAAATGTTCTGAAGTCTTTATCACAGTAAAATATGAAAAATAAATATTCTGAAGTAACATAAACAACACTATAAAACATATTAATTATAGCATTAAATGGTTCTATTTTAAGGCTGTTTAAATGTCACCCACTAAATCTAACACATAAATTTAAGAACTGACTCTTTTGCAACAGGGTAAACACCATAATTGGAGAAAATCATTTCTAATTTTCTACAGTGATGTCAACAATATACTAAAAAACCCAGCCTAATTAATCAATCTAATTTTAGAACTATTTGTCTTTTATATATTTTCTGCTGTTCAAGGTAAGATTGATTCCAAATACACAATATAATGGCTGAGGCTGTTTTTCCCTTGTATTCTATTGATCAGCATAATTTCCCTTTGCCTATGCCTGTTTCAGCCGAGTTCCATGTTTATGCACAGGATAACCCACTTTGTTTCCACATGTCAGTTCCCGTCTGTAATCTATTCTTTTATTTTATTTGTGACTCCTTATCTTGCATTTTATACTAATGATTTTACATCAGTGAATGCTGAGGCACAATAAATATATTGTGCAAGGAATGTTCACGAGCAGAGTTACTCCCTGATCCCCCTTTAAGTAATAAAAAATGAGTACATCATAGGGGGTGCCTGTAATTGTTGGTAAAAAGAAACCCACAGAAAACTTTTCAGACAGGTTTTATGGGGAAAACTTTGCCATCGCTATAAAAGCCCCCTTTTCTTTGAAGTCCGACGCGTGATCCAGTCAATGACTCATGTTAGTAATTAGAAATGTTAGGTCATTTAGATCCCCGATTTCATTTGAGACAAGGAGGGTGAGCAGAGAAGGAGACACGATAAATCTTGAGAGGCTTTACAGGAAGAGTAGGCTAAAGTGTGAACTTTTTATTTTAGCAACGGAAGCGAGAAATCAGTGATACTTTAAAGCAGGGGAGAGACCTCCCTGGAAGCTGGCAGAGGGGAAGGAAAGGGAGCTAATTATGTCTCTTCCCCTTTACTCTCCTTGACCAGCATAAAATGTAACTTTTCAGGGCTTGCCTCTGCACTATATGCTTCTAGGAAGAGTAGGCTAAAGTGTGAACTTTTTATTTTAGCAACGGAAGCGAGAAATCAGTGATACTTTAAAGCAGGGGAGAGACCTCCCTGGAAGCTGGCAGAGGGGAAGGAAAGGGAGCTAATTATGTCTCTTCCCCTTTACTCTCCTTGACCAGCATAAAATGTAACTTTTCAGGGCTTGCCTCTGCACTATATGCTTCTAACATCCGTTCTGTAGCCCAGAGAGGGAGTGCGGAAAGCAGCAGAGAAACGAGCTCCAGGTGGTTCTTTCAAGCACTTCACTGCCAAAAAAATAAAATAAAATCCCGCGCTAGAAAACAAGTACTTAAAAAAGGAAGGAAAAGAAGGGGGGCTCCCTGGAGGGGATTGGTTCAGCCTGGAAGACAGGGAAATTAGTAAAGCATGAGTCTCCAAGCCATGCTGGTGGCCAGCACTCGGATGAGAACGCTTTCGGAGCAATTAGCGAAGAGCTGAAGGCGGCTGCTGCTGCTGCAGACGGGGAGGAAGCAAGGGCAGTTCCCTCCGGAGGCTCCCTCCACAGCAAGCATTTGCTCACTCCAGCTGCAGAAGGGTTTCAGATGTCCCACCGCTGCTTGACCCCCTGCAAATAAGGGTTGACCACCAGAGGCACATCCCACCTCTTGCTTGTAATCACTGACATGCACTGAGGCTACAGCTTCCAACCTGTTTACAACCAGACGGGGGAAGAGAAGTTAGGAGTTTTCTCTCTGGATTTTTTTTCTTTTTGGTACTTTCTGGAGGATTCAAAGCAAAACAAAGGAACTGCCTCCTCGGGGCTGTCAGTGAGCAGGGACGAGTTGTACAACTGGCTTGGGCTTTGCCAAGGAAAGGGGGTGGGAAAACCAGAAGGTGCAAAAACCATCAAGTGTGTGGGGAGGGAGGGGGAGAATAGGGGCAAGAAACCCCTTCCAGTGCCCCCCCCCCGGGTTGTGTTCATGATTTGTTTTTGCTGTCGTTCACTGCTGTCATCTATTTTTCAGACCTTTCTGCATCTAAGATGGTAAAGGAAGGAGGGAGGAAGAGAACGAATTAACCACGGGGAAGCCTCAGACCAGGTTGGGGAGGGGGGTGAGAGAAAAAAGAGAGGATTAACCACCACCACCACCAACAACACACACAAAAACCCCACCAACTTTCTTCTGTGAGGGAGGACTCGGAGGATTAAAAGGCAGCAACTTCTGAGGCGATTTGTCCCCTGAGTTATGGATGTTGGTGTACTCACTTCAGGCCAGATCAGAGCTCAGAGGGCTCTAACCAGAAGCAGCAGCCCCCCGCTCCCCACTTGCCTTATACCGGGTTTTACCCTTCCAGTATGTTTCTTCTGATGAGACATTTTCCAGCGCCCAGCGTTTCAGTACAATGTGCAAATGGATACTGACAAATGGTGCCTCAGCCTTTTCCCACCTGCCTTGCTGCGGCTGCTGCCTCTTCCTGCTGCTCTTCTTGGTGTCTTCTGGGTCTGTCATCTGCCAGGACATGCGGTCCCCGGAGGCCACCAACGCTTCTTCTTCATCCTCCTCCTCTTCATCCTTCTCCTCTCCTTCCAGCGCGGGGAGGCACGTGCGGAGCTACAATCACCTCCAGGGAGATGTCCGCTGGAGGAAGCTCTACTCTTATAACAAGTACTTTCTCCGGATTGAGAAGAACGGCAAGGTCAGCGGGACCAAGAAGGAGAACTGCCCGTACAGTAAGTACTGACTCCCCACACCCCCTGGGAACTGAACCATCCAGAGGGAGCCAAATCAGTACCCCCTCCTCCCTCTCAAAAAGCCATCCCAGCATCACCTCACTACCAGTGCATCTCGTTTGCTCACATGCCACCCTGCCAGCCAAACCTTTCCTGCTCAAGAGCACTTGCTTGGGAAGGTGACAGAAAGAGGTGGAGTAGAGGTCTCTTTTGACTCTGCTCCCTGCATCCTTCTCATATCGGCACATCTCCTCTCCCTCTAGAAATTTGTTTTGCAAATGGTTTGAGTGAACACAATTGGTTTCCCGGGCTGGCAGAAAAGCAAATTAGAAAGATTTGTAAAGGGGGGCGAGAAGGGGGAGGGAGAGGCTCTTTTCTACTGTGTCTGAAAACAATTATCCCCTGTCATTAGAATGGCTTGATGTAAACTCAAGTTTAAAACAATACATTGATTCCCCACCTCCCTTTAAGCTCCACAAGATTTACTGACACCTCCCCCCTTTCCTCCCGCCATCCTTTCACTCCCCATCCAGTGAAAAGTGTTTTTCTGATTTTGATTTCTGCCCCTACATGTTGTTGGGTTTTGAGCGATTGCAGCCCACGAAGTTAACTTTTAAGGCACCACTGCTGTTATTTTGTGTCTGCCCTGCCTTTTCTCTGGTAATATGATGCTCATGTCTGCGTTGTCAATAGCATATGTGCTGCTTTGTGCTGTCCTGTTGCACTCCTTTCTTTCTTCGGAAAGCTCTCATGTTGCAGCACTGCTATACTGCTATTGCATCGTAAACATCTGGGGCTGGACTAATGCAGACCTCACACTCGTTTCATTGTCATCGTTTCTTAAAGAAGAAATATTTTCAAAGTAAAAGTCACAAGACTTGTAGTTTACCCCAGACAGTGAACGTTTCTCTAAATGCTAATTAGGCTTCCAATAATAGAACATTCATAACTTTTTGGTAGACTGTCGTGAGAAATGTAATTTTTGTGCAGACAAGGAAATGAATAATCTCAAATTGAAGGGGAGGAACGGTAGTAAAGCATAATATATAGCAGTGTAAGTTTCAATGGCTACATCCCTGTGTTGAAGAAGGTAGGCTCTGCTATACCAATGGTTAAGAAAAGCTACTTTATTTGATCTTACTGGTGAAAAGCAACGGGTTGGGTTTCGGTTGTTTTTGTAAATCCAAATATACCTAGGGATAGAAACGGTGCTAAACTAAAAACAAATGGGTAGATAAATGAGAGCTGCTTGAACAGTAAGTAAAGTACAGAGTGTGGTTTGGCAGGATGAAGTGTTATATATTTAAAAAGATGACAGTTAATCCTCCAGTCCTTGCATTATTTATTTTCACCTCCATAACTGGCATTTTTTTCATTTGCGTTCTTGTATCATTGCTTCCACTTGCTACAGCTAGCAATTTATTTTAATATTTTATATTATCACAGCTGTTAATTCTGTAGTATTAGACCTATGTTAGTAATGCTTTATGTGTCAAAGCAGATTGGCTTTACCATATAGTCTTTTAGTTTTCATAGAAAAGTTTTATTAGATACAATCATATGCTGAAGGCTTCATTTTGTCTGTACCTAGCTGTTACTGTGGACCATGTTTCTTAATAGAAACTACTATGCTTCTAAAGACTACTGTGTTTCTCAGACGTGTTTCTGAATGTTTGTGTACACTTCTATTGTTAAGTAAATAGGTTTTCTCTGAGCATATTGCTTCAGGAAGAACTGGAAGTACTAAGGGACTGTCTGCATACATTTATATATGAAAGTAACTTTTCTTAAGCAGTTTTATTTCAATCACTGCAGCTATTCATTTGAGTAAAGTTACTTATACATGTAAATGCCTGCAAGAAGAGTCCCTGACTGAGGAAAGAACGTAAAGGGAAACACATGTTCAGAGCCCCAATCCTACCCTCCTTAAACCAGAGCAACTCCCCCTTACTCCACTTGGCATTATGCCCAGGTCTTTTTCTTTTTCACCCACCACATAAGAAAATTAAAAGGTAGTTAATATTCTTGTTGACATGACATAGATATTTTCAGAGTTGCAGAATGTTTGTCTGTACTGCCAAAATTAAATAAAACACAGATTTGTTTACCTGTTTTCCCCTCCCTTCCCCGAGCACATAAAATTTCAGAACGACCATACTGGGTTGGACCAAAGGTCTATCTAGCCCAGTAACCTGTCTTCTGACAGTGGCCAATGGCAGGTGCTTCAGAGGGAATGAACAGAACAGGTAATCATCAAGTGATGTAAATCAAGCATTAATTCAGAACTACAAAACTATTATAGTTTGCAGTCAGCTAAGTATACATAAAATAAATGAAGGGCACCGTTTCTTCAAAATTAATAACTTGAGAGTGCTTAAATGAAGTCATTTATTCAAAGTACAGTACTGGATATCTTTAAAAAAGCAAAGTAATCTGGATATATAAGACGTAAGTAACTATTTAAGTCTTTGCTATCAGATCAGAGAGTCAAACATCTACACTGGTGTTAACAGTTTACCAATGCTTATTAAAATGCCTTCATGAAAAAATACAACTGTCTTAAATGATCCCAACCTATTGTTTTGTATTTCAAGACCATCCATATCAAAATATTGTAAGTGAAAAGCATAGGTTCTGTGAATCATAATTTAACCTATGACTATGTAATCAGAACTCCCCCATAATCTCCATATGGATTTACTCAGTGGAAGTATTTCGTATCCTCATTTAGACATTGTCTAAATGTGTAATTAAATGAGACTAAACTCCTGCCATGCCTAAGGGAAAGACAAACAAGCAGCCCATCAAACTGTAGCCTTTTAAATATTATGGTTTTAAAACTCTGAAATAAGTTCCTTATCCAAAATCATATTTCCCTAAACAAATAATTATTACTATTGACATACAAGACTTTATTTTTAAAATATTTTAATTTGTTGATTAATTTATTTCACTCAGATGATAATAGTGTTTAAAATCCAGTTATACTACAATAAAATCTTATCTACAGAGCTGCAAGCTTATGATATGCTGCGTAATTAGACAACAGTTTCAATGTCTTCTTGCTAGTGAAATGCTATCAAGTCAAAGAAAGTCAGGACAAATTGTCAGAAAGTACAATTCAGTTGCCAGTTTCTAAAATGGCTCAAGAAGTATTCATAGCTTTGCTCTATAAATATTATATAGTATGCTCTAAATAAAGATTTACTTTGGCAGATGTTTTCCAACTTGATTATACCAGAACTGTTACCTCAGCCTTTACATACCTCCAGGATAACCGGAACAGGAATGGGTGAATTATGGCTATTCTGTAAGACGTCTGTGGAAACTTGCATAATTTATCATAGCTGGAGTATATCTGTCACTAGATATATAGGATAGTTTAGTTTTTGTTTTATTATTCTTTACATCTAGAACTTTGCCCTTGAAACTCTACCACTCAGCACTAGTTCTTACCTCACTGTTGCAGCTGCAAGGTCCTCTGGCTACAGCTCCTGATAAGTCCATTTCTAGAAGAGAATAAAACAGCTGTGGTGTTCTCCAGTGACTGTGAGCATGTGTGAAACAAAAGCCCTGAGTAATTACAAAAGTATTGCCTATAACTTGACATCTGAAATAGCTAAGAAGAGTTTTGAGCTTTTAGAATATGTAAAGATAGAGGCATTGCTGCGTTTAGCCATATGGCCCAGATTCATCTTTCTGGAACTAGTAAGATTGCACAGGTCTAATGGAGAGTGAATTTTGGCCCAGGTAACTTATGATGACTTGATAGTGTTGTTAACTCTGACTGAAGCTATTCCAGGAGGTTTTTTTCCCCCAGTGTGACACAATGTCATTTTCTTAAAATATCCTGCTAAAAATCTCCAGGGTTGCTTTCAATAGTTTCCAGGAGATTGATGCCAATTTTGGAAGACTCCATGCTAGTCATGAAGATTGGCAACCCTATGAATTGGCTAAAGTAAACATACATTACATTTTTGAGTGTTGCACTGTAAAAAACAATAAAAGGTGACTATACAGGCAACAGTCAAAAGGCCTTGAAATATGCAAAATATGAATGTTCACAGGGGTAGCAGTAATAAGATTACAGGATAAAATATGAACCATATAGCTGTTAAGTTCTGCACCTGACTAAGGATTGCAGATTGGGCCCATTATTTATTAATGTGTTTGATTTATTGACTGAAATTGATGGACCTGACTCAAAGCTCATTGAACTCAACAGAAGAATTGCTATTCATTCCCATGGGCTTTCACTTTCAGTAAGACTCTCTGTGCACAATGCTGTACAAAACACACTGTAGAAGGAGACACAGCTACTACCACAAGGAGCTTGCACTCAAATTAGGAAGGTGTCATAAAGGTAGATTCTGAGCAAGTATGAACGGATGAACCTGTATTTAAATCAATGGAATTACAATGATTTACACCAGATCAGATTGTATCTTGAGCATACCTATTTACTGACTGCAATATAGAGTCCTGCAGATCTGTGGATATCCACTTTATAGTCATGGGTGTCAATGTCCACAGATGTGAATGGTGATATCTGTGCTCATTTTTGTAGATGCAAATTTTGTACCTAGAATGCTTCAAATTCGCAGGTATCTGTGATCATTTTTGTGGATGCAGATACCAATTTTTTATTCATTTAGGGATCTACTTCTGTGGATACTTGTAGTCCTTGCATTGACTTCAGTGAACTCTGGATCAGGTGCATAACTACACACAAAAAATCTACATCTATGTTACCTACATTAACAGTGACATATTAGATACTTTGAACAATTTAAGAAAATCTACTGATTTCCTTGTTTCTTGTAATTATTTACAACCAACAAGCCAATGTTTAAATGTTTCCAGGTGTTGTAAAATAATTTAATTTGATTGTAAATAACAGTGAGATAGCTGCAATACAATCACAAGTACAGCTTTAAATAGAAGACTGGAACATTGAGCAAATTGTGCTATCTTAATACTATTAAAACAGCCTGTATGGGTTCACTTTAATTCTTTCAGAGTTAGTTTTATATATTAAACAATATTTTAAAATGAAATACTATTTTCAGGCTCACGAGTTTTCTTTGTGTCAGTTTTTACAAAGAGTTGTTGACAGCTCTTTTTTTTTTAATTGACCTCAGGACATCATATACTGACTCCTAATAGGTATTTTTGTTTCCTGGGAAGGAAATCTATACATTTTTTTATTACTTAACTGGTATCTCATTTAAGTCTGAGTTGTTCCTGAAGCTCAGTTACATAATTTATAACCAGCAGCCTACAACCTCAGACACCTAGGATTTATGTATATGGAAGGAATTGTATTATTTAATGTCTACTTGACACTCTTCTGTTACTTTGATTGCATTTTCACCATGTGGACCCTCCACAAAGATAGTGTAGCCTTATCATAAAATTCTTAAAATTTACAGTGGTAAGGAGTCTTTTTTTTTCCTTGTTGTCTTAATACATCTGATTTATAGCCATTTACAAAAGAAGACTAAGACAGCATTAGGTGGAGATCACCCTGACAAGCTAGGAATATGAGGCAAAGGACAAGAAAGCTTACATATCCCACAGTGCTCCTTCAACAAGATGATTCTGTGGTCTTGATTTGGTAAGGACTATAGAACGTGGCTCAAGACAATATAAAACTTCTCAGGAATGTTCAGCTGTAAGATAAGAACCTCCATCTTGAAATGAGGCATTTAAAATGTTTTTAGATGTTCTTCTTGAGTCTCCAATTTTATGCGCCCCATCCAGCTCCTCTTAAAATCAGTGGGAGTATTGCCACTGTTTTCTGTGGGAGATGGAGAAGGGCCTGTAAAAATAAAGTTTCCTCTTTTCTACAGAGCCTTACATTTAGAAAGAAAGCTTATATTTGCAAGCAATGTCTTTGCTCCCTTTTATCTTCTCAAGATAAAAAGAATTAGGAATGGCCAATGGCTTATCACAGTAAGGATCTGTGAATGTTAAGCACAAATATGGTAGAACCTCCTTCATGTGCATGCTAATGAAAAATTCCTTTCTGAACCACAATACTGTATTTTTGCTCAAAAGTTTTCTATCTGAGGAGGTAGAAATGGTGTCAGCAAAGTCAGCAGAGAGATTAAAGCAGCCACTCTGGGGAGTAATTTCAGGTGCTACCCTTTTTTCTTCTAAGCTTGACCCAAAGTCTTTAATTACACACAAATCTATCATCAATATTCAGTTGTGCTGCAGTAAGAAGTGTTGAATCATTCCATTTAAGTCTTATTTCTAAAGACTTTTGACCTAATTTGTCTTTAAAATAGTACAAATGTTCCTTACAGTGGTATAATTCCAAAATCTGTCAACATTAATAGGGGATATTAGCTTGTTGGAAATTAAATGAAATATTGGAATCACTCACGCCGAGATATGAAAAAGAAATTCTTTGATGTTCAATGGATGGTGGATTTACAAATGGACTCTGTATAAATCTATTTTAATGTATATGTTGGTGTATCCACTATTGTTACAAGCTAGCAAAGCGATTATCTTTCTCTTACCCCGGAGATTTATTTAAAAGGCTCTCTAGTATTTTAATGTCTGTGCCTCCTTATTATTCAGATGCTTTATTTTTTCTGTTATATCAATGGTATTTATTACTTGGTATTGTGGACTGATAAAATCATTTTCTCACTGCATTAGTTGCCTTTGTTACTAGTGCCAACTCATTGTAATGAGCAAAGATTCTTTACAACATAGAATAAAGAAGAAATCAGACAGAAAAAAATATGCTATCCAAAGCTTTAAGAAGAAATCAACCTGTTTTCTGGAAAGCAGTCTCTGTCTATAAATATCTAAATCATCAGAGAAAAAGTGTTTACAGTTTAATCATTGAATGGATTAGTTAAACTGATATAATTCTTTGAGGGAGTACAATTTTACACAAATGTGAGTTTCAAATAATTTGTGAGCCAAGTCACATGCAGAACAATAGCTTTAAAGTCACTCTTTGCTTTTAAATCAGGTCACTTTTGTTCTTTCTTTGAACGTTCTGTTCTAATTGGAACAGTAAATCAATGAAAACACTTAAAATATATTCCCATGTAAGGTGGACAACTGGACAATGCCTTTTTACTGCTACTAACACGTGCATCCAATTATTGCTTGATAGATTCATAGTGTAAGCAGTAAAGCATTACCTTATTTTATAGTTACACTAATAACTCTCTAGCTTATCTCCTTGCATGTTTGCCTCTAAATAATCTATCAATATTGTATATCTTTTATGACTGAAGAGGAATTTTCACATAGTGGGGCAAGCATCAAAAAGTTGTTTAATTTCTTCCTAACATTCCACATGGTGTTTCTCTAATTGCTTCTACAATAGATAGTTGTTTGTAGCAACAATCTGTAAAAGCAACTGCTGCTTACCAGCAATATTTCCCCTGCGAACACTTTCCCTAACATGAAGTGTCCACGCAGCAACATAGCCACCACCTAGGAGCAACATTTGTGCATCACGTATTCAGCTTATTTGCATAATTTTGTGTGTGCATTTAAAAATATACAAAATGCCAAAAGTCTCTCACTGAAAGCAAAAATACAGATTATCCAAGTCCGTCCAACTCTGGGGATTAGTCAAACCACATTGCAGTCAAGTTACAATTGAATAGTTCAGTTGCATGTAGAGAATATGGAAGCAGAAAGGTAACTTTTGGCTAAATACAAAGACAGACGGTTGAATAGCTGCCATAAGCACAGGCATGAAGGAAAAGCTCCTTGTTTTGACCAATGAGTCAAACTAGACCAGTCTGGTTGATTTTAAGGTATGCAACTCCAACTATGCGAACTGCATAGTTGGATTTGGCTTACCTTAAACCAAGCCATGGCAGTGTCCACACAGTGGGAGGCCAATGGGAATACACACTCCGGTTGATTTCCCTTACCCCTTGCAGAACAAGGAGTACCAGATGCCAACAGAAGCTGCCCTCGGCATTTGATTTTATGGGTCTACATTAGACTTACTAAACTGAACACTAGAAGATCAACCTCCTTAGTGTAGACATGCCCTTACTGTATATGGTTCAAGAGAGCACAAGGAACACTGCTTGCTGGACCCACAATCAAGGAAAAATCCCTTCATCTTATACCTTCCCTATGATTAAATGATTTTAAGGCAACTAATGGTTTGGAAGAAACAGTTCAATGTGACTTTCAAAAAAGAGCAGGGGGGGGGGATTTAAAAAACAGTCTGCAGACAAACCAACAGGAATGGGAAAAGGTTATTCACATTCTTGAAAAGTTTCCCCCACTGACATCTACATCTGCTGATGAAACAGGACTTTATGTGAAAGGGCTCTGTGACAGAGGATAAGTAGAAAAGCTAAAAAGAAAGTGTCAAAGGACAGAGTAACTGTACTCATCTATGTCAACATCGATGGGAGTGACTAATACCCACTGTTCATGATTGAAAAGGTAAAATGTTGTTGATGCTTTCTGAAGGATTTCTATCAACTGTCCCTCGGTTATGTCAGAACAGCAAATGTGTAGATCACAAGTGAGATTTTCATCAACTGGCTAAAAAAGTGGCATCATCAGCTTTGTTTGCAGACCCCATAAGGGATGC